CGAAGTAGACGGCAAGTGTCTTGGCGGTCGACGACGTACATTTGCTGATGGTACACCCCCTCGATCGGAGCTTGGCTGCTTCACAAACCAACGATGCAGGCCTCCCAACGTGTGTCGGTGGCCACACAGTTGATGGAGAGTAAGTCCCCTGACCGGAACTTGAAGACGAACGAGAGAACAGTTGGCCGCTTCAGTTCTGTCGAATACACGGGCAGAAAATCTCCAGTTTTGAAAAGTGCCGTCGCCGTTTGCTCGCGTTTTCTGCTGCTGGAGATCATTCTCTTCCAATCAATTATTCCTGGAGCGAGTAAACAACAAAAAAAGACAATGCATACATTTTTGGTCTTTTTTAATACTTTTTTTTTTACAAATCAAAAACACTGGTCACATTAAAAACACTTTTTTTTTTTAATTTGTTGCGTGTCCGTCTAGACAGCGGGGAAGTTAGTCAGCCCGGATGGCGTCTGGTGTCGCGGTTGTAGATGAGAAATTTAGCCAGTGCAGTAGGATCGCTACGCTGGGGTCTTTCACGTGCATCATGCTGTAACGATACACGACCATGCTCCGGTACGACGCTAAATAAAAGTTTACATCATCATCATCATCATCATCTCCAGATCGAAACGGGGCTGAGGTGGAGATTGAGTCCAGGATTCTCGGAATCTGCAGCGCGAGCTCTCGCCTCGCGCGCTCCGAGCTGCGGTACGCTAAAGCACTTGGACACAGAAACGCAAAGGGACTAATTAGAAAAAAAGAATGTTACGAATGCCCCTTTCAATGTCGCTATATGCAACTCACTCCGCGAAGCCATACTACGTCATACACGAATCGAAAATGGCCTCTCTGGGGTGTCGGTCAGATGGTCCCACCGGACGTGACGTTGATAGGAACTTGCTAGTCCTGCTTGGAGCGGGGGATGAGAGGGGGGGGGGGGGGGGGGGGGGGGACGCACTTCCGGAAGAACAGACGGCCGGAAACTTTAAAAATGGCGGCGTGCAGGGAAAGAATCTTTTCAGCTGCTCCCGCCAAAAGGTGCGCAGGTGGTCCCCCCATGCATCAGCGGCGGCGTCGTTCGCGGGGACTTTTAAATGGGTGGGGCGCGGGAAAAGGCACAAAAAGATGGAGGCCCCCTTGCATCCGCCCCGAGGCGCTCGAGGGAAAGGAGGAAGGGCCCTCTCTCCGTGTATTTACCTGTTTTAGTTGTACTTCGTTTTGTTTTTCTTATCGGTTTTGTTTTTGTCGCATTGGAAAGTTTTGTTGTGTTCTGGTTTCAAGAATTTAGTCTTACGCGCGAGTGTTTTTTTTTTTTTTATTATTATTTAGAGCGCACATGGCATGGTGGTTGTAGGGAGGATGCGTCCGCTGTTGGGAGATTTAAAAATGGAGTCTCGTCCTTTTTGGACGCCGTTTCTTATGTGTATATATTTTTTTTATGCTTATAGATAATCTTTTTATTTTGTTTTGTTTTCTTTTTCGTCGATCTTGTTTCTCTCGTTCGGCTCGGAAGAACGACGTACTGGTAAGAATCACAGAGTGGACCGAGGGGCTTTAAACGTGGCATGCGCTTAGCCGTCACACTTGAAAAAAAGAAAAGAGAAACAACTTTGAACAAAATAATATATATATATTTTTTTTTGCATACTTAGCACGCGGAGTTTGCACCGTCCAAGTGAACAAACGCGCTTGTTTCTGAACAATATTGTGCGCAGGACGCCGTACTGTCGTCGGCATTGTTAGGGTGACACAAACCTGAGCTCACTTACCACATTAAAGAGGCGCAGCCGCACTGCAAACAAAATAGCAAAACTTTTTTTTTATGCTCACACGGTACGATTGTCACGCAAGGAAAAAAAAAAAGCATGTCTCATACTGTGTCCGCTCACTGTCTTTTTTTATGACTCCTTAACTGTATTTCCGCAGCTTTAAAGTACCTTAGCCATACATGGACATCAATTTAAAAAAAAATGGCACGTCTTTGTCGACGTTTAGTCTGATAAGAGTTGCGATGTTCGTGGTGCGATTCCAATCGCACGTGGTCGAGGACGAGCCCTTTAAAAATGGCGGCGCATCCTTTTCCCCTCTCTTTCTTTTCTACATTTCTTTTTTTTTTCGCCCACTCACTCCGATGCTTCGGGAGAGGGGAGTAATACGGGAGGGCGTTGCCAACATCTGTCGTCTGGGTAGACGACCAACAACCCCAACGTTGTTGGTCCTTTTTCTTTTTTCTCCCCTTGTTTGCTTTTTCTAATGCTGGGCAAGACGTGAGCCGATTAGCCAGTGCTAGCGCTATAGGGGCCAGCGTTTTGGTGCCTTCTAAAAATTTGACGCCGTTTTCTTTTCTTTTTTTCTTGTTTTTTATAAACGTAGCGGCTGGTGACCTTGACGACCTATGAGCATATATGTGTTTTTGTTTGTTTTTATTTGTACGTTGTAACATGTTTAGCTCGATGACGTGTCCTAATTCCGCAAGACATCTGCAACCTCCCTTAACCTCTTTTTTTTTTTTTGGTGAGGGGGGGGGGGGGGGGGAATTGTTCTTCAAACAAGTTTTGCCCAAGCTGAAACGCTACGTTCATGCTATGAGCTTGTCTCCTGTTTTTGGACGTTAAAGCTGTCCTATTTTTCTTCGCAAAAAAAAACAAATCAATGTTACGATTGTCGTTCGTATTCGCAATCGGTATTATCCTTACCGAAAATATTTCGTTCCGTCGCCGTGTTGAAGATTCCTTGCGGTGCCAGACCGTGGCTCGAAGCTAGTTCACCTTGAGATGCGCTTTAATCTTGTCCGGTGCAGTCCCGGCTAACTCGGGATCATTAGCGTGTCTCAATGTGGTTATACCAATGTCCGCAGAAACGCCTGTATGTAGACGGGCCGTTTCGACGTGGGAAGGAGGTACCCTCACTTGCGCTTTCGTCCACGGGCATATGTAAACATACAAATCGTGCAGATATAGTAATAATACTAATAATAAGAGCGCCATTCACCGTGTAACAGTGACAGTAGCTTACAAAGAAAATATTCTCGAGGTTGTGGGCGAGAAAATATTATATAAAGAGCTTTTTATTAAGGAACACACATAAAGCAATAAACAACGGTTGCAATTACGTACATGAAAAAGTAATCCCAAAGGTCCATTGCAAGAGATTATATGAAATAAAATGGTTCCCTCAAATAAAAATATAAAAACCTTAAACAAAGTAACAAAAACAGTGACAATCCCGTAGAAAATCGCCTCGAAGCTTAGCCTCAGGAATTAATTATACAACACAAAGTAGTTTCCTCATTAAAAAAAAAAGAAGAAAAAACTATTTAATTATTGTTCAGAATTCAAAAGTGAACAAAGCAGCACCCTAGCTGTCATTATTTTCGCGACCGCAGCGCAGTAATTTCTAAACGTACCCACAGCCTTAGTTTAAAAAATTCTGGAAGAGAAAAAAAAAAGACGTTTTGGCAAACTTGCGAAGAAAGGATCGGAAGCTTGGACGAAATAGTCACCAAAAAGGGGAGAAGAAGGCGCGGAAGTGGGGAGAGCGGAGACGATACCTCCGGCCGGAAGCTGGCGGTCTTCTTGCATCTCTATAGTTGCGTCTATGTACGTTTATATGGTGGTACTCTTCTCCCTCTTTTTGCGGACTTCCTCATTTTTTCCTCTTTTACGTCTTTCCCTTGTGTGCTTTAGGAAAGAGGTCACCGCGGTGGCATATGATATAGGCAGCAGCCTTAGAAAGAACGATTTCAACTCCCAAGAAAATCGTACTTCCCTTTTTCCCTTCCGATTTTTTCCCCTTCTTTTTTTCTTGCCTTCACGCGGTGTTTTACGGATGTTCCGCGACAGAATTGTTCGTGAAGACCTCCTTCTTTTTACAAACGTGGCAAACCTTTCTCTCTTTTTTTAATCTTTTTTTTTTTAATTGAAATTATTGAAATTGAACGTTCGGAATCTTGCGAGTAATTAAATGATGGTGCGTGAAATACTTCCATCGTTCTTTGTATTGCGATCATAGGAAGTTGAAACAAAAGTACTGCAGGAGAGGATCCGCTTCAAAGCCCGAAAATAAAAATGACGTCGTTTCGCCACCCAGTACGGGGTTGCTATTTTTCTGGCGTCATCCATCCTCGCCGGCCTTGTTTCAATACTGCTCTCTAAATAAAAAATAAAATAAAAAAAACTTTGTTTAAGTGCACGTAAGCACATTGAACATTGAAAATATCACGCATATATATGCAAATTGGACATCAGACAACGCTTTGTCTTTGGTAGCGATTTCCTGTGCGCTGACACAATCAACACTTAAAATGTTTCCCTTTTTTTTTTTGCAGGAGGTTATTTGTTATTTTATTAGCCCGCATTTATTCCTCTTGTGGTTTACTTTTCGGCCGCCAGGTCGCACCCGTTTTCGCTACACACGTGGACAGGCGGAGGCTCCCTCTCGCCTTCGCGTTTCTTTTCCGCTGGGTAACGGTGCCTCCCGTACGGTTTCGAAGAGTTCGGTCTCTTCGTAGCTTTTAGCAGTATTGCTATAAAATGCTCAGTGACCTGAATGTTTTCTTCTTCAAGAAAAGGCTAACTGTCGACAACACTGGCTAGGTGGCGCAAGCTGCCGCCTAAATTTAAGGTTTCATTCGTAGCATCCATTCATCCATCCATTCTGATTATACTCGTTTTCACCTCAAGAAAAACGAAGTAAGCTTTACGCATTGTTCATACGCCGCGCGCAAAGTAGTTCTTATAAGATTTGGTTATGGGACGAAGAAGCGCTGCTTTTGGCGTTTGAAGTGTGTACGTGTTGATAAGATCAAATCGGTCTAATCCAAGATGGACCTACGTATATCCTAATTCTGTACATAAAACGAGAAATTATGAATGCCCCGCAAAAAGCCGAACATATTTCTTTTTTGCGGTTCTTTTTCTGCGGTTTTGCCCGAGGCCAGTTAGCCTCCGTCGATACCGAAAGCGTCCACCTGACCCTCTCCTTTGTGTTTGTTCCCCGTGGCTCAGAGTACCGGTTCACGAGCTACAGTCCCTCCCTGCTTGCGTCGGCCAGTGTGGCAGCCGCCATCCACGGCCTCAACCGGCCGCTCAGCTGTCCTCGGAACGAAGTCGTCACCACGCTGGAGCAGATCACGCACGTCGAAGCGGTACGTTGACGATTCGATGCGGCCAGTGTCATCGAAAGTCCGCTCGTCGAAAACCAATTTCTCGAAAGTCAACTTGTCGAAGGCCTACTTGTCGAATAGGCCAACTCGTCGTAAGGCAGTTCTCGGAAAGGGGAGATCGTCGAAAGGGCAACCTGTCGAAGTTCGTCGAGGCCTTTTCGACGAACCGCCCGCCGAAGCGTTCTGTTAGGAGTTAGGCTACTCGATAAGTTTGCCTTCGACGAGTTGCTCGTCGACCTGACGGCCTGGACTTGTTAACAATGCGATGTGACCTTGACACCGCGCGCTGTGCCTTCTTTTGCGGGTCTCGGAAGGTCGCGGGGTAGGAGTTTAGCCCGTGGTTAAAAGAGTACGCCGGCGATATTTTTTTAGCGACCGCTAGATTTTTGGAATCACAGGCCCCTTTCCAGTATGCTATTTAGTATCGCGAAATTCAGAATCGTTATTGTAAAATCGGCAAGTGAGAATGATGCCAAAACCAACCTTCAAATATAGCCGCGCTTTTCAGTGCCGTGACGTCACGGGATGGCAGGGTTGCGGTCCGAGCGGGCGGTCTAAAAATGAACTATGCCGAGCATTTGTTTCGTGCAGCTGCTTGGATACTAGAGCGAGCTTTCAAAGCATTCACATGACACCATGAAACTGAATGTAATCAGTTTGGAACAAAGTCTACAGTCTAAAGAGTGAACCCCCTGCCCTCCGCTGACGTCACGTTTTCATCGTTGCCAGTAGAGACGTTCACATTAAAAAAAACACACAGCAAGGGTCAGAAATTGTAATATCAATACCTTCGCGACGAGAAAAAAACAAAAACATACAGCATATTTTGGCCCAATACCTGGGGATCTATTTCAGCGATGTTTGTTGGTGTGTTTAGCAAATTATGAGGCAAATCGGGAACGATGGCGAAAACACCGGAGTACCCCTTTAATGCTTCACGTGACCACTGTGGGCTCGTGTGCACACATCGCGACACTGTTAGCACGAACAAGTGATGGCCGATTTCTTCTGTTTTTTTTTTTGTTTTTTTCCTTTAAAATTGAACAGCCGTCATAAAATATACTATAATTTGATGGAACCTTCTCATTCAGGGCAGCAGCCCGAGCAGTAATTGTTTATGGCCGTGAACACTCAGTCTGAGTAAAATACAGAAAAGCGCCGACATCGTGTTTGCGGTAACAGTGTCGCGCTGTGACCGGTCACTGTGCGACACAGTTAGTGCAAACAGGAAGTCGACGCTTTTTTTTTTTAAATGTTAGTTGAACAGGGAGTCGATAGACGTCCAACTTTACTGGCTGAGTTGGTGTCTACTCGTTTCGATGACTACTCATTTTGATGACAGCGTTTCGCTTGAGACATAGGAGCAAGAACCGGTACCTACTTGTTCTCACTGACAGTGACAATCTCTCTATGTGCTATATATGTAGTCGTGTGATGCGAGGCCAACGTTTGATTGGTCTTAACGGCATGCTCATGTCAAGTATATTATTAAGTGAAATTAAGACATGCGTTATCTCAAATGAATCCACCAAGATGGCAATTTTACGTGTTCGTTCTTCTGTTTTTCATATATTAGCTACGTTTTAGTACTAGCCTCTCTTTCTTATTCTTTGTCTGAAAACAAAAAGGTGATAGAAGGGTAATATTTCCGGCATTACAACCCTTTCTACATCTTTGTTTTGAAAACGCATGAAAACGACTAAATTACGTTTATCATGACTACAGATTTGTGATGCCAAATAAAAAGATCCTCCATGTTTGAGAACCGTACAACTAACCTTCGCTTTATCCTCCCTTCCTTTTTATTCCTCCACAGGACCAAATCAGGCAGTGCGTCCAAGACATCGAAGTCCTCATGGCAACCAGCTTCGCTGCATTTCAGCAGCCACCCCATTCCAAAGTCAGCTCCCCGAGCACGGCCTACGCCAGCACGAAGCTAAGCAGCAACAACGTACCCTCGACGCTCGACTCCAGTCAACCAAACACGCCCACGGACGTCCAAGACGTCAACTTCTAATGCACACCACATAGTCGCCCCTAATTCAGACTGTCCATCGGACTCCGATGACGGCAGCTACCGTCCCAGCGTTCAACGAAAGCGAAAACCTTAACGCCTCGCGTGAATTTTGTTCAGAGTCAAAGCTATAGGTGCCGGCACGAATAGATCTTTGAATCTTCATCAAAAGGGTGTGTTAGTGGTGCAACGGTTCTTGTGGCGCCATCTCCCGATAGGTGCAACGTGCGGACGAGCAGCTCGTCTGCTTTCGACTGAGTGCATCGTCTTCTCGCTGCGCCTATCGGGAGATGGTGCCACGAGTACAGCCGTCGTCAAGTTGGTCGTCTGCGTCGACGTCTGCTCTTGATCCCGGCGCGTTTGTTGACCGCAATAACATACGCCTTGTAATTTCAAGATGTGAAATGCACCGCTGTGACACACCTTCGATGAAAATTGGACATTGCTGCGCGCGGGTGCCGACATTTCCGGCCGAGTTTAGGGCCCGCTTCGGGATGTATGCCACCCTGTATTTGCGCCGAATTCGAGCATTACTTCTTGCTTTATGATCGCGTTTTCTAACGGACGACTGCGCATTGCTGATGCAACAAAGAAAGAAAGTGTTTGCTCTTACATATTCGAACGTGTTACAGTTTTTTCTCGAAGCGTTTTCAAGGTTGAATCTTTAATCGATCCGCTTGACGAAACCATGTGGGTTGATCGACGTTTCTTGCTTCAAAATGTTGGTTTCGCCGTCTCTTCAAAACAAAGAAGAAAATTATATTACGTTTGTTGGGGGATGACTTTGGTAGAAACGCCAAGGAATGTCGGGCTTTGTATATACGAATGTCGTGGGCGGAGCGAAGTATCTGCACGACATGTGAGCAGGTCATTTTGGAGCCATTTGCTCCGGAAGAGAAAAAAAAAACGTGCGATGCCATGAACAACAATTTGTTTTGGTCATTTACTTCCCCGTAACTTGCCTGGTGATGATATACATATATAAATATAATATGCACACACACACGCACGACGGAGTGGGTATTATGTTTTTTATGAACTCGACCGTTCTTATGAGGGATTTAACAACAAAAACTTCTTAGTAGGAGGACAGCCCGTTTTCCACTAAAGGTGGGCCAAAGTAGAACTTAACGAAAAATGAGTTTCAGTGCGAGCGTATATTTTTTCCTTCGAATTATTTATATCCTATGTACTAGTCTATTCCTCAATGCGTTTGCTGTGGATACATTCAAGACGCATTTGATCTCAAGGTATGGTTAATCCTCCAACTCGACGAGAGAATTAAACAGCCAAACATATATTCCAAAACCTCGACCGGTGCTAAGAGTTGGAGACAACGTACTTACCTTTCTTTTTTTTTTCTATTGAGGGTTTTTGTTTTCTTTTAAAACTGCTCCTCGGAAGTCTGACTGATCTAGAACAGTTTTTTTTTTCTTATTTGATTATCACATATGACACGGCTCTATACTATTCAAGACTGGACTTAATATATTATTGCGTCGATATATGTCTGACCTTACATTTGCCACGTGTTTCTTGTTTTTTTTTTACTTTTTTGACACGTAATTTATTATTCAAACTGCCTGGTTGTTTGTGTCTAGTCGGTGCCTTATGGGGCACCATGTTTCAAATATCTTGCACCAGCCGTTTTATTCACATGCAGTGGTGATGCCTCGTATAACTACACACCAAATGTACATAGAACTTTTTTTTTTTTTTTCAGAACTTAGTGAACACGTCATACTCAAAACCCGACCCCCTGCACTTTGCACACTTTTGAGCAGACATTGCTGTTTGTGCTACTACTTTTTTTTATGTGAACTCTTTAGCACATTGCCAAAGATGGAGCGTGCCGATTGTTACTGACACATTCCAAGAAAAAAAAAAAACCAAAGTATACCGCGGGTACTACTACTGACACTTCCTTACTTGGCGTGCTAGCACGCCATGCATTTATTAAGTTTCGATGTCAGGTTGTGCAAGCTCCCGTTGTTTATTGTATAGAGTACCCGTTGCTCCAGCTCATCTGTTTTTGTTCCGCTGTTGGAACACGTCGCAAACTCCTACGCCGTGTATCTCTGTACAAGTGGACAGCAACTTTGAAACTTCCATTTAAAGGCTTCGAATGATATTTTTTTTTTTTTTCTTACGCATACCCAGAATATTTTATGCGGTTCACAACTTTGCCAGTTTCTTCACTGCCAATGGCGTACGCAAATAGTTCGTGGAATGTTTTGCGGTTCAATTTGTTTGCCCTTTGAGAGTTGCGTGATCGTTGTGCCTGCCTCTCGGAACGTCTTCGTTGTCAAGTGCCCCCCCCCCCCCCCCCCCCTCTTCCCGAATGCCTTGCATTCCCCAGTTGTTACCCTGTTCACCTTGGAGGTTTGTAATTCATGAGTGCTATTTGCTGAGTTTTACAGCTTCCGGTTGCCTAACTTAGCGCTCAAAAACCCTTTTCCCACATCTTTGCTGCAGACGAATTTCGACACGCCTCTGAAGTTGTCACGTGCGACCTCGTTGACTGCGCTCAATCTTTGGGCTCGGTTTCTTTTTGTCTGTTTGTTTGCACATACCGTCAAGCCGACCGTGTTTGTGTCAAGTTTCCCTGAAAATTTGTTATCGACGATAACTCCACCGTTGCTGCTGTATTCCGTGTATACAAGCTGTGAGTGCCTCATCCGAATTTCGAGAGCAATAACGTTTCTCGCACACTTTTTGACGTCTGTTAACATTTCTGTTCTGGTATTACAGTTGTGATTGAAACGTTGTTCTTGTTCAAACCTGACGCCGCGCGCCAATGTTTTTTGTGTCTCTTTCCAGAATTTTCGTTGTTTGGGTCTTTGGGCCGTTTACCTGCAGAGTATGCAGGGTGATCACGTGGTATTGTATATACACAAGCAGTGTTCAGTTCAGAAGGAACGTTTTATATATGTTTTATATATATTTTTGGACCGCGAATTGTTTGTCTAAGAGGGACGAGAGAAGAAAAAAAAAATTAACCTGTCTTTCACGGAGATTCATGAAGCTGTGAAAAGGCGAGTTTCACCTGTGAAAAAGTATAATAAAACTATTTTACTATTACACCGGTATTCCTTTCTCGCGTTTTCAGCGATTTCCCTGTTTCTCGTATCATAGGCTAGGTGGCGCAAGCTGCTGCCCGATACGAAAAGCATTGCCATTATCATTCTGGATCCACGGTCCACGGTCCACGTAGGGCAGTCGCTGCCCCAACACCATTTTGTCTCATCTGGCTAATAAATAAACCTGGAAATAGTTGAGGTAACCAAATGGTTCTTAACCTTTGTGTCGCATGTAACCAGATCTGTTTTACAACCCTCCAAAAGCCAAAAATCGCACGTTCGCTATAGATGAATGTAGAGCCATGAAATCAGCTACGCTTCGAAGTAGCGACACTCCAGCCGCCTGGTGCTTCAAATCATTGTTGTTGATTATCTGATGTCTTATGTGAAATCCTAGGAGCAGCAATAGAACATCGCGTGGGCTTTCGGATACGGAACATCTACACTCCGTCTCAATGTAGACTTGCAGTACAGCTAAAGCTCTAGGGGAGATCGGAGATAGGGCCGGAAAAACACGAGGACAAGAAGGTACGTAAACACTGGCGCACTCGCAACGAACATTTATGGAAAAAAACGAATCCCATATATAGCCGAGAAAAAACCCTTCGTCATGACAAGCCTTGTCAGGAATGCAGGTACAGACATGTGTTCACTACCATAGCCTCCTCTATACTCACAAAGCCTGGCAGTTCGACGACGGAGCAATAGAGTGCCTGGTCGCAGATTTGGAGCGCGAGGATCTGGTATCACGCAGCATCGAAAAGCCATTTCTCGGGGAAGGCTAACCAGACGCTAAAGCAATGTGGCCAGTTGGTATTGAGACGACATAATGAAGAACAGCGCCCAAAGGACAGGACAACAGCAAGAAAAAAACCCACATGGGACACACAAGTGCTATCGAAGGTAAGAGTGAATTTTTGAAGGTATGAGTGTTACTGAAGGTAAGAGTAAAATTTTTATCGAATGTAAGGAGCTTGCGCTGAAGGCAGGATAACTGAAGAATCTTCCCTGCCGTTTTCCTTTGTTTCGCTGTCAGTAATGAAAACTTGGAAATGGCTTCATCTTTCGTCGAGTCCAATATACGTTCGAAAGACGAAAGGGAAGTAGGCCAAATGGTGGGGAGAGGGGAAGTAGCGACGCATACCGTGGGAATTTCACGCTTGAGGTGCCGAACGCTGGCTGACGGCGTCATACTCATTACGCGCCGCCGACGAGATCGTCAAGGTCGAGAGGCTGTGGGAAGAACAGAGCCACGGATGGGCGATCCGGGCACACGGCGCGCCGAGGCCTTGTTTCGGTAATCGCTTCTGGTTTGCCATCGCCACACGAGAACAGGTAAATGAGATTCGCAAAGGAAACGAGCAGTACCCCGGACAACGCAATGACGTATTGAGGACATCCTGGGGAAGTCCCTAACTTGTCCTAAATAGGTCGATTTGTCCACCCCAAGTATGACCACAGGACGCCATCAAGCTGTCACGGTACACCGCTGAAAAGCACAGTGAGCTGTGCTGGGTAGATTTAATGACGTCAAATAATGTAAATATAGGTGCTGAACCTACAGATAGAGGGAGTGGGCTCTTCAGTGATGGCTGCATGATGATTGATTTCATCATGCAATCATCTTTTAAAAGTACGCTCACGAAAGACCTTCATGAGTATATCTGCAATAAATTAAAGCAGACACCTAATAATACGCTGTCAGCTAGTTCAGGTTTCATTCCAAAATATTTAAAGCGAAACAGGCACAAAATAAAAATATATCAAGGAATGCCAAACTTGTTCATATAACGGCAGAGTTTGGCAGGAATACTCTTTTCCTTATAAAAAATATAATTACAAACGTTGTGGAAAAGGAGCACCCCGCATTAACCACCTAGAAAATGTGAAATCTTTACCACGTCGAACTCTATAAAAATGGAA